ATTTGGGATTTGGGATTTGGGATGGCGGACAAATCCCAAACTATAGTAAGTCGGGATTTTGCCAACATGTATAGGTTGGTAATGCTAGGCAGTTTGCAAATCGCAGCCAGCATTAAAATTATTATGACCCCAGCCAATATAATTCTGCCCGGAACTAAGGATGAAAAAAAACCAGTTTTAAACACTTTTTCAGTTTGAATTCTTTTGATTTTACGAGAGTCACCGATTTAAAACAGGTGATGATTAAAAGTCCGAATAGTTAAATTTGTTTTTAAATATATTAAGAACATCACCCGTTTTTTAATTACGTAATAAAAAACGTTTTCCATCCCTACCCGGAACTATGAAACGGTTCCAATCCTTAAGAATGGACCCTACTCTAATGACTAACCAATTATTTATTTACATATAAGCCGGTCGAGCCGTTTTACATCTCTAACAATAACAAGATGCATGTGATACCCTACCTAAAATTTAAACGGACTAACATCAAGAAAATTCATAATGCTTAATAATGCTTAATTTATTATAAAAAAAATGATTTGCAAAATTTTGACGATTAAAGCTATTTTAACATCATATTATATATAATATTAGAAATTCATAAATAATAAAATCGGTTTTCAAATAAATACGTATTAAATATTTCTTGAAGTGGAATATAATAAATTAATAACAAATTAAGATAATTATCAAACTAAATAATAAATCATGATAAAAATTTTTGTTTTAAACAATATTGAAAAACTATACTTGAAAAAGATCGATTTATAAATAACACATTTCACGGTGATTTCATACGAAAGTAGATTAGTGATAGATGATCGTTAGCCAAAAAAGTAAGCAAAATATTTATATATTTAGAACGAAATTATGATAAGGATATTTATTATGGAAAAAATTTAAACGAATGAATTAATAGAATGATTTCCAAAAAAAATCAAAATGGAATCGGAAAAAATATTGAAGCCGAGTCATCGACGAAAAATGACAACCAGATTTGGATAATAAAAAGAAGTCAATCGGTATGTATGTCCGAAAATAAGTAGATAAATTATATAAATTGATTTAATAGATCATAAGATTCATGATTTTCATTGTCGTGGATTTTTTTGAATAAAGAACGTAATATAAGGGTTTTGTATAAAAACAGAATCCCAACAAACAAAATTGACGAATTATGAGTGACGCTAATATAATGCAGGCTAACTTGTCAGGACCTTTGTTTGATCGGCTCCCTAGTATAAATCGATATAGCATTTAATATGTATAACCAAAGATCGACTAGCATAGTTTTTTCCTAATATGATTTATTTTGTTAAATTTCCTAAGCTTTATTGTAACATAACAAAGAATTCAAATAACCATACTACGACTTACAAAAAAGTTCACTAAAGTTGATCCTTTGAGTCGATTCAACATGAATACATTGAGTCTAGCTTATAACTACCTAATGAGTTCATAACTACTTACGAGTAGCGTCCTTAAAAAACCACATGGATGATACTTTTTAATATGTAACGCGGATACATGTTATTTGTTTCCAGATTGTTTCAATACTGATGGGGCTAATTAAGAACTAGACCGATCACAGTAAACCCCTTGATTTCAAATCTGATCTATACAACCGAAGCCCCATTCATTTAACATACCTAAACTTCGGATCGACTTTTGATCTACTGACTTGACTTTTTGGAGTTGAATTGGACCGGATAGGAGTTTATCATCTCTATTAACATGATATAAGTGATAGATTTATATGACGAAAATTCTAGGGTAAGAATGATATGTGATCAAAAAACGGTTATTATCTGATGTTTGCACAGAATTATGCTTAATTATAAATCAATAGATAATCCTTTAATGTATGTTTATCCTAGTTACTAATCAGACGTAGCTTGTAAAAGTTTCAATGCTAGAATTATGTGTTTTGAGAATTAAAAAAAATAAAGTTGATTTCGAACATGTAAATAGAATTTATACTGTCAAAAGTAAAAGTACATACCGGTCAGAGTCAGGTTTAGAAATAATATACTTCGGTAAAGTCTAACCTTTAACTTGCAAGGAATAAAAAAATATGCATAAAGTTATTTAATTTTATTGCTTGTTTCTTGATCGCCATATTTAGGTATTTAAGCACTTACGTAATTTCTCATAGGGGTAGTGTGATTGGCAGAAGATTACATGATGTTGCACGGAATCCAAATGCATAAATCAGACATTGAGAGTAGGAGTCGGTTTCAGGTCGTCAAAAGTTTTCGCATGTTCTTTTTGAACTCGAGAACGTACATGACTTACTTTGTATGCCTTTCTTTTTTAAACTTTTCTTGTATTAATATAACCACTTTTCATACATTCAAGTCAAAAAATTTTGCATTTTATTTTTTTCATATTTGAGAAACAGATCAGTACGCAGTTAAACTTTTTTTTTCCAGCCCATTATATGTCTGCAGTTTCTGCAAACAATACAATGGTATCTTCTGGAAAAGATGCTTCTAGTTCGGCCACTGTTGCATCGCCTGTCACTTCGGGGTCTCCCTCTGAATTAGTTCATTCAAATCGATCCGTGTATGGAGTTTGGGAATTTTTCAACATACCAGTTCCTAGCGTATCTTTCGCCTCAGTTACCTACATGTTGATCGCCGTGACGATCCTTTTCGCTTTAGCAATCATGCATAAGGTACCGTATACATTTTATTTTGAGTGCTATTATCATTTTTTTAACACGAAGGATTTTTATTGGGAATGTATGCGAGGATATTGACGAACGGGATTCTACGTTTATACAAAGATCAATAGATGAATTATTGAATGGTATTTGAAAACTTTGCCGTTTGATGAATGAATAATTCATTGTCTGATAATTAATATGTCGTGCTAAAAAGTTTTTATGGCAGCATTTAGCATTTTTAGCATTTTCTTTTCTTTTTGTGGACTAAAAAAAAAATTTTTTATTTTTTTTTTATTATTAAAAGCATGGGGCCAAGCCCATTTGGAAACCAAGTTCCCAAAATCTAAGCGAAAAATTTAGATTGTACATGGCTGGATCCATGGTAGGGGATGCTGCTCGGCGGATGTTTAATGGATGGACGAGGTCACGACAAGATGGCATGGAGATTTCAAATAGGGACGAAAAAAATAGATCATTAGACATGTCATCATCATCTTCAATATCCTTGTCTCCTTCCGAGCCCGTGGATTATACAGCACCACGACTATATAAAAAGGCCTCGAATTCTCGTTTGTCATCTCATAGACGTCCGAATTCTCGTTTAAAGGCACAAACACTTTCACCAATAGATGATAATCCATCTACGGTTTCATCTAACGATGATCAACCGAACGATCAGGCCACTGAAACAGATGAGTCAAAAACAACAGTGACGATAAATGTTTCAGATCCTCGATCGGAACAACCTATTCTTGTACCACATCAAGAAATTGATTGTGAAATTGAAGGTATTCCTTCAAATCAGCTTAATCAAAATTTTGATGATTCTCAGTCTAACAATCAAGAAATCAATTTGAGAAATGGGTCTTGTCAAAATTCGATGACAAACAACGATGGGACAAATAGTCGCGTAACCTTTGATGATTTAGTCCCACCACCCATACCAACAACGAATGACATATCGGTACCATTGCATAAAAAAAATTCCAAATCACGATTGAAGGTACAGCGGCCACAAAAAGATCAAACATTATTTGTTACAGCGCAGGAAAGTGAAGGAGAAATTGAAACATCATCCATAACAAGTACACCGAAAAATTCGAGTGAGATGAATACTCAAGAAGAAAATTTTGTAAAACCGGGAAATAGGAGGCGTCGAAGAAAAACAAAGAGTTCTAAAAATAACCCGCAGCAAAACTCGCAGCAAGAAAGTAGTAACACAGAACAACGATCGTTTAAACATGAATCATTACCGAAGTATGAAAATACACAACAAAATATTAACGGACTGCCGAGACCACGACAATCCGACGAGATGTCGTATACTGCAATTCATCCACAACAACCTCGCCAAATAGCTAAATTGAAAACAGAAGATCATAATATTTGGCAAAAATCCCCGCATACAGAATCAGTACATTATCAAGCACAACCACATCATCATTTACAACAACGATCTGATCAATCAACATACTACATGCAAGGAAATAAACGAAATGAAACGGTTTTTCATTCTGGTACAGCTATTCCAGCTAAAGCTACTTTACCGGAAATAAACAACAAAGCGGCGGTATTTCCGAGACGAAATTCTCAATCGAATGTAGTAACATCGAATTCCTCGATGAATAGGTTTACTTCTTACGCTGGAGCTATTTCGTCTCAAAATCGGCCACCACCTAACACGATGAAAATTTCGCATAACATTCCTTCCACTTTACCTGCAGATAGTAACATTATGGCACCAGTGCCTGTGGCAGCATCTGTGAGGGAAGCACCAAATCATCAATGGTCACCTTTTTGGTCAGGACTTTCAATCCAGATCAACTCACCTGCACCACCTGAAGATATTCATAACAAATGGGCATCGAATAACTCGATCACATCAGCATCGCTGTTTTCATCACCGATGCCAGCGTCAAATTACCGTAGATCCTCTCTGACACCATATTCTCCGACATCTACTTCAAATGAATCAACATCAACATCATCCATTTCAATGTTTGCATCATCACCTTTTTCAACTTTAACCAATCATGATCGACGAAATTCAAATATTTCATGTTTTGGTAAAGTATATAACGATCATGATCAAGAAAAAGGAGAATTAACAACAGCAAAAGTAGAAGCAAAAGAGGTGAACGTAACAGATGAGATGATACGGGGAAGAAGTTTGAGGACCAAAATTTTGAGTAATAAAGATAAAATGAATGAGGGTATGATAAACATGGATCAGGGACGAAATGTACCACAATTCTCTTTGTTTGATAAACAATTAATGTACCCTTCAAAATCTTAGCTGATTGTATGATTTTTATAAATATATAAGTGCTATAAATTTTGAACCGATAGTTTCATTTTGGGTTGATCAATTTAAAACTTGATGCATTTTTGTTTGTTGATTTTACTATGTATTTTATTAAAGAAAAAAGAAAAAGAGAAAAAAAAACAAATAATAAATTATGTATAGTAATAGAATCAGCTTCTAACATCATATGCATGTAGTAAATCTGATCTTTAAATTTGACAGCTTTTGATGATCGATATAAGCGAACTGCGTGAGGATCGAATTCTCGTCGATCATATGACAAAATGATGATCTCAAAAAAAAAAAAAATGCATTATTATATTTAGAGAAAAAAAAAAAAGTTCTTTGTTGATTAATTTGGATTTTTTGATGCAGAAACGCTTTCTTTATCACATGATTGACAACCATAGCCAATCCAAACATGTAAATATTATGAGTGCATTTATAATAACCTCTGCATGCATGATAACAGATTTCTAAAAGCATATCATTTTATGCGTGGCGTTTTTTGTTCCTGCACAATCACGCATTAAAAGTATGAATTTTTTCTATCGGGAATAGTCTAGAGCCAGGTAGTGGTCATTATTGTCACATGATTGGGATTTATAATTGCAGAATTAGTAATCCGCTTATACCGATACCGCTATCGATATATGCCCGGATTTATGACGTAGGTACCGGTACCAGTACGTTTATCATAAATTGAATTTTTATATATGTTGTGCCTCAGATTAACGCTTGCGTGAGATTGCAGCTGACGCACCTCAGATGTGATTGTTTGACCAGCATTAACTGATCGACAATAATTAGCCTAAATTATACCTTCACCCTCACCCTAACTCTAACGTTAATTTAGGCCGGTTTTAATCTCACGCAAGCGTTAATCTGAGGCACGACATATGTACCATTATACTTACTATATCTGATATAATCTGGCAAGCGCCGGTACGTACGTACGTACTGTACGTATGTCAGGGTCACATACGTATGAATTCAAATTTGGATGAACTTTAACGTTAACATTAAAATTTACGTAAAAAACAATGAAACATGAATGAAGTATATATATATATATAAGAATGCTGCATTTTTTTAAATTGTATCATTAATACGTACTAAGTTAGAATTAATACGTAAATCCGGATTTATTACGTAGAAGTTGGTTGAATGCAAAAGACCGGGACTTGTATACTGTATACGTCACAATAATTGTAGGCCTTTGAGTTAACTTTTATTATATAAGACCAAATTAATACTGTTCTCAAAGGTCTAATTATTAAAACTTTCCCAGTTACATATAAATCATCTCAGAACAACTCTGCAGAGAAATTATGTTAGATCATGTGATTATCAACGCGAATATACATGTGGTCGAAATTATTTTTGTTTGTCAAAATTATAGCTTATATCGAATAAGTCGAATAGTTTTTGGCCACGCGAATGGATTACGTAGTAGTGATCCAAATTTTAAATCGCATAAACCTAATAAAATTTCGAGACTGTGTAACGCAAAAATTAAAAATTACCTATAACCTAAATTTTAACTATAAAATTAGTTTTCTGTGCATTGATTATTTTTGACGAACTTTGATTGGATGTAAGTTATGCTGTCGTCGATCGAGAATTCATGTGTACGAAAATTAGATATGTACATACGTACGTACGTACGTACGTACGTACGTACTGTACGTATGTACTGTACATATTACGAATATCATATCTACAGTGCATTATTTCCACCAATCTTATTAATGTTTTTTTTTTAATACTTTAAACCTTTGTTACAATAGTTTAATTAGTTTATTTTTAACTTTGTGCATTACTTAAAATTAAAAGATTCCTTGGATTTTTCGATTAACATTAATAATGTAAAACTTTAAAAGTAAAGTAAAATAATGCATAATGATTGGTTCTTCATTCAAAACCACGAGACGTTGAATGAATGCCAAGATGTATCAAAATATTTAGATTTCGTAAAATTAAAGGTGAGAATTTTAGCTATGTTTGGTTACTACGTACTACTTATTTATTATTGTATATCATAAATTTAGTATTTTTAATATATTTAAAATTTGTTTGTTTTTACTGTAATTAAATATTTTGTGTTAATAGTTTATACAATGTAGGGCAGACTATTTGGTGTTCATGTGTGCGAAACTTTTGGTTTATCACAAGATTTTTCGCCAATAATATGAAAAATTTTAATGAATCACAAATGTAATTTATTCACAGATCAAGCATAATGGCGAACGTGGAAAATTTCTCATCCAGTGATAGGAATCGTATAATTTTTATAATATTCAATTCCTCTCTTAATTAAAAGTATCTAAATTGAATAAAGATCACGATCATTTCGTTACGTTATTTTCACCTAGTCTTATTCACCTCAACTTATATTACAGTATATAACTTATAAGGTATATTAAATTCTTTTTCAATTGACTAAATCAACCCAAATCTGCTTTTTTACCTAATGTTAATTTTATAAGTTCCACATGCTGGGGTTAATTTTTTGCCTACCCCTGCATATAACATTGATAATGTATTGCTCAGGGTCATGGTAAGATGACGGCTAACTAAAGCGTAGTACATTATGGCGATCGCAGTAAAGTGACTTGAGCTTTATTAGTTACTATTTATGTTTACTACATATAAATTAATGCTGTCTTATTTACAATGATGCTATCAATTTGAAGAATTCTTTTGGTACATTACCGCGTAATAGTGCGAAGCGGAGTAGATTCTTATAATATATATTTTTGTCATCTTATATAAGAGTTAGGTTAGGTTCTAGGTAGTTATATATAAGCAAAATTGCCTCCCCGACATTTTTAATTAACCCATCCGAGGTAGGTTTAGATTGCCGTTTTTTTGTATTTTTCATTATTTCTTGTTTTGCTTCGCCAGCGATCAGCAAAATTCTATAATTTGATTGGTCATATGTCACGTTATTCTGCTCCGCTTTAGACAACCGCTTTTTTGTTTTTTTAAGTTTGCTTGTTACTTATCACTAACCAATCAGCCTAATTTAAAATGCCAAACGCTCTTAACATACTTTGCTTGTCTTTTTTATCCTTTTGTTCAACTTGCACCAAAAATTCCTAATTCTTTGAACACCTTTGATTCTATTATATTTTCTAATTTTGGTTAATTTTTTTTCTCCGATTTTATCCTTTTATCGTTATCCTTGCCAATATCGATAATTTGATAGTGATTATGTAATATTGATATATCCAAATTAAAGTGTTTTAAAATAACGTAATCTCTCTAAAAGAAATCTCAATCGGCTAACGCCGTAGTGAATGTAAATGACTTGCCAATCTGGTTGTAAATTTTTTAATATACCGACTTCTGGACCCAGAAGTTGATGACCATCCGTATTGATACATTATTGTTACAAATAATTCAACATCGGTATCAAATCAGAAACTACCGCATTGTTACCAGAAATGTTTATTGCCAAGGATTGAACCTGTTCAAAAAAAATCAAAGCCGATCACCCACAGAGTTAACAAGCATTATAAAGGTCGGTATGGACTAATCCTGACCCGACCAGTTCGACCGGTTCTGCTCATCAAGGATTTAACATTAGCGTTAGTACTAGTCAAATCAATCAATTTAATAACATCAACATGCAAATTTTTGGCCGACCAACTAAGCATTATCATTATACTCGGATAAAGTACATTGCGGAACAGAATATGCACTTATATATATATGTATATGTATTAACAAAAAATAATACAGTATCAGACAAAAGTAATTCCGCACCTATATCTACTCACTGCGAGGTCCTAGAGCCTTGAAACTTTCCAAAAATTTAGTAAATAGTTAGCCTAGGTTGTGTATTTTTTTTTGGTAATTTTTCAATCACTTAAAGTTTAACATAATTTTTTTAAAAAAAAATAAAAAAAATAATTGAATTTAATTAAAAATTAATACTGCCTCAATTTTTATAGTTAAAATTTTTAAAAAAATTAGTACAATAACGTTCAATGATTTTTATAATAGTGACAAAAAATTTAACCCAATTTGATATAAGATAGTTATTGAGAAATTAATTTTTAAAGTTTAAAAATTTTTTTTTTATCAGTTGCGAAGAGGTTTTTATTAATTTTACTATGTAATTTATTAAAATTATATAGTAAAATAAATAAAAACCTCTTTGTGGTAGATTTTTTTGACTATATGTAATGAAAAAAATTTTAAACTTTAAAAATTAATTTCTCAATGACTATCTCATCAAATTGGGTCAAATTTTTTATCATTATTATAAAATCATTGAACTTTATTGTACTAATTTTTTAAAAAATCTAACTATAAAAATTGAGGCAGTATTAATTTTTAATTAAATTCAATTATTTTTTTATTTTTTTTAAAAACATTATATTAAACTTTAGCTCTCATCTAAAATTTTTCTAGTGATTGAAAAATTACCAAAAAAAATACACAATCTAGATTAACTATTTACTAAATTTTTGAAAAGTTTCAAGGTTCTAGAACCTCACAGTGAGGAAATATAGGTGCGGAATTATTTTTGTCTAGCACTGTATATAGGTTTAGGTCACAGATAACTCTTATAACTTTTAGTTAGCAAGAGTTCTGTCTAAGCTTCTAATCTTAGTATTTTAATAGATATAAAATTCAAATAATGTAATTTCTTTACTTTAATTTGTAAAGAAGTTTAATTAAATTTTAATAAAGATAAAGACATGATTCACCTTTGAAGATTAAAAATAAAAAATAATAATATAGTTTTTTTTTTAAGTCTAAGTTACAATTTAGTAAAAAAGATTTTTATTATTTTTATTCTTGTTTAATTTTATAGTTATATTAATTAGCAAATTAATTTTTGATAAAAGATTACATCTATAAAATAAATATTGATAAAATAATATAAATTTATTTTTATACAATAGTTTATAAAAATTTCTATATATTTATAAAGAACTGGTTTTTATACCTTTATATTCATTATTTATATAATAAAA